ATATATATATATATATATATATATACGCACACACTGTCTCTCATAAATAAAAATCAGCTTGATGCATTATTGCTTTACCAAAATAATTCATGGAAGAAGTGTAATTGTGAACAAGCAAACTAATGACATAATGAAAGTGTATGTGGCTGGTCAAGCTGGCAGATACTGTAGGCATGGCTGTCCTGTTTTGACAGACAGAGGAAAGCCGATTACTCTTTCTCTTCATCAGCAGATCTGATCCCTCGCACCATGAGACAATAAGGGAAGAGAGTCTGCACAGCACCAGAAAAGATGTACCCCTCTAAAAATACAACAGCAATAACTAAATAAGGATGGCAGTGCAGCTACTGCCTGGATACTACCAAATATCCACTTTTTCTCTATTGCGCAACAGTTGTTGTTTATTGTACTTTTCTTGTTAATATTCCAAGTTGACAAAATGCCAGCATTTTTATATACAACTATTTTAGAAAAGTCAAAAGAACCCCGATGAAAATAAATGTTAAAGCTGCTGCCTCTTGTTTACTTAGGTCACCATAGCAACCATACATTTACAGTATGCCTGTCACTACCTGACAGCATTATTAATAATAAAGGCTGATTAAAATGCAGAGTAAAAATATACCTCAAACAGTCACTGTGTGAAAAGTACAAGTTGTGTTGAAAAATATTGAGTGGAAAAGTCTGCTCTTTATGCATGTCAATTTTAATGGGTCTGTAATGTTTTGTGTAGGAGACACAAGTAAAAATATGTTCTATTTGTGGTGAGAAAGCTCTAAAGTTAGGTATAAAGAAAGCTTGGATGAGTTTGGATGCCTTCTGCTCTCTGGGTGGAGTAGAGAGAAAATCCCTGGTTAATGTCAGTAAGAGAAGTATTTTGTGAAAAAAAGGCAAAAAAGGCTAAGTGTAAAAGTTGCAACGATAAGAAAAGTTTCCAAATTTGTGATTTCATCAGCCTCGTTTCATAATAAATATGTTAAAAATGATAAAACCTAAATTGAATATTAGTAAAAAATAAATAAATAAATAAATAAAACTGAAATATAAAAAAACCTTTTCAGTCACAGAAAGTCTGCCTTTTGGTGTCTCTCTTATTTTCAATGTGTTTTTACAGCAAAAGTATATAAAGTATATAAAGTATAATATTATTATATAAATATAAATATAATAATATAATTATAATATATAAAGTATATAAAAATAAAAATTAAACCCTGCAGTATGACTTTTTATAATTGTTTATTATTGTTGCTGTTGTCCATTGTTGTCATCATTCTTTGTTGAAATCAGGTCTCTCTTGTAAATGAGTCCTCGAGGCTCAATGGGATTTACCTGTCTAAATAAAGGTTGAATGAATATCTGAGCTATAAAACTTTTACAAATGATGGGTTTACTTCTTTGCCAAATTTTTCATTCATTCAACATTTATTTAGACAGGTAGATCCCATTGAGCCTCGAGGACTCATTTACAAGAGAGACCTGATTTCAACAAAGAATGATGAAAAACAATGGACAACAGCGACAACAATAGACAGTTATAAAAAGGCATACAAATTCCTGCTGTTGTGAAACTTGAAACTTTTGTCCACGTTGCATAGTGTACTGCTACCAAAAGGTCAAAGCACACTATTTATGAAAAAGCAGCAATTTTCGTTGTATTTTTGCATGGAGTTTCCCAAGAATGCAGTAGCAAAAAAATAATTAAATAGATGAATAACATCAGAGTGGTATGAAGGTGTTTTGATGTTTATGCATCGAGACGGTTAATAATTTTGCAAGTTGTTTCAAGCTTTAAAAAAAGTTCTTCTTTCGGCTGCTCTCTTTTTTAGGGGTCACTACAGCGAACTAAGTGGCATGAAGGCTTGGCTATTTTTACGCGGGATGCCCTTCCTGACAACCACAGACCACTGAGCTACCACAGCCCTCTGTGTGGAGCTGCTATCTGGGGCACCCAGGGGAGCAGATGGTGGGGTTAAGGGCCTTGCTCAAGAGCCCAGAGTGGGGCAAATGAGGGTGGAGACAGGTATGGGTGCTTCACCTTTCAGACCCACTTTTTAATGTTATCGGTACCAGGAGTTGAACCAGCAATCTTCCAATCATAGGCCCACCTTCTCTAACCTCTGCGCCACTACTCCCTCATGTTTCAAGTTTTTCCAAATATGTACAGTATATTCATTTCACTTTCGGTTCAAAATTCAGTTCAATTCAGTTTATTTATAGAACGCCAAGTCACAACAGAAGTTGTCTCAGGGTACTGAACAGAAACATTTGCATACGTACAAAAGCCAATCACTAAAAGTTTTCTATCCAAGGAAGCCAACAGATCTTCTTTAATCTTCATTTTGTCACAGTGTCCCATCCTGAGTAAGCTCATTGGCAACAGTGGAAAGGAAACACTCCCTTTGAACTGGAAGAACCCTCCAGTAGAACCAGGCTCAGGACGAGCGGCCATCTGCTTCGACCGGTTATGTTTGAGAGGACAGGAAGGAGAAACAAACAAACACAGAATGGCAGGTTCAGGTGAACTTTCTATAGGAGGAAAGATGAAAAACACATGTTAAAGATAGTAATAATTACAAATATAAACTGGTAGATTAGAGCAATTAAAGACAGCAGCAGAGCAATTAAATGTGGGCAGTTTGTCCTCCAGCAGTCTAAGAATATAGCAGCATAACCAAAGGATAACTCAGGAAATCCAAACCGATTTTAACTAAAGGTTCATCAAAAAGGAAAGACTTAAGTCAAATCTTAAAAATAGACAACATGTCATCCTCACAGACAGAAAGTGGAAGTTGGTTCCACAAGACAAGAGAATAGCCTGATAACTGAAAGCTTTGCCTCCCATTCTTTTTTTGGAGACTCTAGGAATCACAAGTAAACCTGCAGCCTGAGTGTAAAGTGCTCTGTTAGGAAATGTGCAGGATGTTAGAATGTATTGAAATGTTGCAATGATGATGGGCACAAAACTTAATCCATTTTCAGAGCTATTTTTATTGTTAGGATCACTGGTGGGTAAGTCTTGGGGTTCTAGAGTTCCAGAAATCAACTCCAGTTTTATTGTCAGCTGATGGTTTTCTATCAACTCCACCAGGATTTTACATGGAATAATAACCACTAATAGAAACAGGTTTTAAAATTGCTTTTTTTTCTTTTTTTTAGTCAATTTACCCTTTGTCATTCTCCACGAAGCTCTGTGAACTGATTTTGCCTGCCAAACCTTTTCATTGATTCTTTTCACATGAAATATTTTCCATTAGTTTTTATGACTAGATTTAGTTTTAACTTTAACTAGTTGAATTTATTTTAACCATATAATATTAGTAGATGGGAAATGGGAGTGGTGGTGCAGAGTCTAGAGGAGGCGAGCCTGTGACTGGACCGGTTCAACCACCGGCACCAACAACATCAAAATGTGAGTGGGAAATTTGAAACTGTCCATACCTGCTCCCACCCTCATGTGCCCCACTCTGGGACCTTGAGCAAGGCCCTGAACCCCACCATCTGCTCCCCCAGGTGCCCTAGACAGGGTACCTTTCATGGCAGCTTTCTGCTCCACACAGAGGGCTTTTGTTGTAGCTCGGTGGTTTGTGGTTGCATCAGGAAGATCATCCAGCATAAAAAAATAAACTGCCAAGTCTTTGTGCGAGTTAGTTTGCTGTGGTGACATGGTAGATGGTTAAATGGGAATAGATAAATCAATTAGCTGTATTTAGGGGGTGTGCATACATTGTGGGTACATTTGTACTTGTGGGTACATTTTTGGCAAGTTAAATAAGGTTTTTCATGGGTCTCCTCTTCAAGCTTAAGTTATATTTCAGGAATATACTGATGAAGGACCTTTACTTGCTTCACGAGCTTGTTTGAAATGATAGAAAAGATCCAGCTCCAAAAGTCTTGTGTCCCAGAAAAATGTTTTTCTTTGAATGAAGACAGACACCAACAGGATACATTTTCCAAGAAGTTTCACAGAATGTTGTAATGAAAGGCCCCAAGATGAAACAGACATTCTTCTTCTGCCTTTGCATGGACCAACAATGATGAAGGGCCAGCCAATGTTTACATTCAACCCAACCCTCCTTTTTTAACCTGTGAAGGTCCTTTGCTGCCATCAGAGGGAAGCACAAACACAACAGCCAGTAATTCTGGTATGACCCTTTCAAATGGAGCAGCTGACGCTTCAAGTACTAAAGCTAATCCTAACAGCTTAGACTGGTACCATGGTGAGAAGCAGCTAATGACCGAACAGGACAAGATGGATAAAGTGATATTCAGTACAACTCATTCTTCAAGGGAATCTTTGGACAACGATGACAAGAATTTTACTTCAACAGCTTATCAGGATCGAACGTTCATGGATGGCACAGCTTGCCCAGTGGAAACATGCTATGATAAACCTGGAAAACAGTATGAAGATAGCAGATCAGAAGATGAAGAATCAAATGAGGAGACTAAAGAAATAATTTTGAGTGACAAAAAGGAAAACTTGGGGGAAAACCAAAGAAACAGAGGAAGTTTTCCACAACCAATATCTTCAACTTTTGATGAAAACTTTGAAACTGAGACCTATCTAGAAACAAAGAGTGACAAAATAAATTATGTGGATATTGATGAGAAGCACTTCAAGGTAACAAGAGATCAACAAAACAGTGAAAGAGCTGTGAGCAATGACTACCAACCAACGCTGCCTGGTTTCAGTGCAAACAAGGATGAACTTCAATCTCCGGAGACATCAAAGTTCTGCAAATTTAACCAAATTATGATGGAAGAAGCAACCAATCAACCACAAGTAGTCTTCTCTGGAGAAGTGACTACTGGCAATGGCGACTATGGAGGCAGATCTTTGGATAGCAACCTCACCAAGTGTGACTGCTTAAAGAGAGAGAGTGACATTTCAGAAACCCAAATAACACAACTCCCTTTCTGTGAAGATTCTGAAGAAATGGTTGAGCAGGTAGATGGAAGCCGGAGAATAGTTACTGATATCCAACAAGGAAAGCAACTGCTTCATCGTCTGCAAATGGTACAGCAAAGACATGATGAGATCCCTAATATGCTTCAAGAGATAAGCAAAGAGGTCAGAGTTGAGGAAGAGTTTGGGTTTAGGACTGATGTTAAAGAAGGAAAAATAAGAGGTGAAAGTATGGCAAGTGAAGAAGAGGAAGGGGTGAATGAATTAATTACAGTGAAGAGGGAGGAAGCAAAGACAAACCAGACAGAAGACAAGAATGTAAAACTGTTTCCGACAAAAGCAAAGACAAGTTTTTCCACATTGCCAGACCTGCCAGAGCACAACCAGCTCAACAAAGGCAAAGTTGAATCTTTAGATAATCAGAATAAATGTTCAGCATCTTCAGATTTGCTTCTTGACAATACTCATGAAACATCCTGCTCGGAATCAACTTTTATTTCTACTGGTCATCGATTCTCAGCTGCTGAAACATCCAAGGAGAGACATATCTATGAGGCCGCCCAGGGTAAGCAGAACTTGCAGAGAGCTGAAGGTGTTTTCAACCTTGCAGATAGTCCAGATGTGCTGGAGATTCCCTTTAAGACAAATCTCCCTCTTGAATCTCTCCTTACTAATGTTTGTACTAGTCGGCCAAGCAACTGGCAATTCTCTGAAAAGAAGATGCAGAAAGAAATTAGTCAGGAAATTCAAAAAGAACAAGTTCTGGTCAGTCAGGGTAAGATCCCAGGAGCTTACAGCAGAGGGGAAGTTCGCCAGTTAAAGGAGACAAAACTGCTGTTTGAGGTTTTCCAACAAGACAAGATGAAGACCCAGTCAAGGCACCAAAAACATCCTGCCTCATTAATGAAAGGTGATGCCTATCCGTCTGTCCTGGAGCGCACACATAGCCTTGAGTTGTTTTCTCTTAAGACTTGCTCTGTCCCCAGAACACAATCTCTCAGACTACATGACTCTGAAACCACTAAAACTGACAAAAATCCAGAAAATCTCAGATGCAAGAGTCCAACTGGAAGTTCTCGAGAAAGAACTTGGTTATCCCCTTACTCAAAACAGGACAAACAACTGCGATTCCACAAAAGCTTAGAATCAATCAGCAGTGAAGCCTCTACATCTGCTGTAAAAACTAGAGACAAAACAAAAGAGGGTGGAAGGAGACAGGAATCCCCCATCCTCAAACAAAACCCCTTCTTCAAGCTTCGTCCAGCCATGGCACTGCAGCCAGAAGTAGAGAAGGATATTCGGGCGACTAAAGAACGAGAAGATGAGCTGCAAAAACAGAGATGCAAACTATATGGGGAGTTCAGACATAAAAGTGATAGTGAAGAAAAGTCCCGGTGTACACAGACCCTCAGATCAGGTATGTTGTTGTATGTTGTTGTATTGTATGGCATCATCCAGTCCTATACAAAGTAAAACCATAATGTACTGTATGTGTACTTTTCCTTTTATAAAACTTCCATTATATAAAATGGGTTCTTCGTCTTTCCAGTGGTTCTTTCAAAGTGAAAGCATGAAAAAGTCACTTAGATTAGATTGATTATACATCCCAACCACCTAGTCTGAGCATTTTAATGAATGCTTATCCACATTACCATCTCAAAGAGTTAAAAGAGGATTCTTAACGTAAACTAAGTGCCATCCCTGTCACTCGTGGTCAAGGACATGTTCTTCAGCAAACTTGATCTTAGGCTGTAGATGCCAACAGGCTGAGTGACGGCATGACCCCTCTACTTGACCTCCAACTTGATCCAGCAGCAGCTCTGGTTTGTTTATTTGTTGTGGATCAAATATAAACTACTTCAGTTAGTTAAAGGGTTTTCATGGAAAGGTTACAGGAATAAAGTATGTACAAGTATTCCAAATGTATTTTCAGTCAAAGTGATCAAATGCTTATAGTTGAAAACACATAAAAGTAAAATTATTGTCTGTACCATACCATACCATTTTATTTATAGAGCACTTAAAACAGCGACAAGGCCAACCAAAGTGCTGTACAGACAGAGCAACAGGTAACACTTGAAGCAAAATACAAAATGAAGTAAATCATAAATATAGACATAAAAACGATGCAGATAATGACGACTAACCAGTGTGGAGCATACAGGTTCAAAACACAGATCATCTGGTGTTGAAAGCTACCGAATAGTAGTGGGTTTTTAAACGGGAATGAAAACCAAGAGGGAGGGGGCCTGTCTGACAAGCAGAGGTAACTCGTTCCAAAGTCTTGGTCCTGCTACAGAGGAGGCCCTGTCACCTCTGCGCTTAAGACAAGTTCCTGGAACTGTGAGGAGCAACTGGTCCACTGGTCTAATTACAAACTGATCATGTCACTTGTTTTAAAGTGACATTTGTACATTTTATAAAGATAGGTGCATAAATTTAAATGACTCAGACACAACAGGCACGTCTGGGTAACAAACCAGGAGACAAATATACACAGACAACATTTGTTTCTGAGTTTTAGGATAAATATTTGTTTCTGAGTTTTAAGATAAAGCTTGTTAGCCCTTTCATGCATCATGCGCAGTATTTGATCTTCTAATTGATGTCTATCACCTGAGGTAAAGATTGCTAGAGTAAGAACTTCCCAAACAGAACAGGAAAGGCTAGGTAGCTGGTTGTAAACTGCAATTCATGAGAGTAACTCTTTACGGCACATAAAAAATGTAATATTAAAAGTTGTTTTGCAATTAAAGTAACACAAAACACGTTAGCGAAGTAGACTGTATAAGATCTGACAATTTCATTTTATTTAATGAAATGAAAAAAGTCTAATAATTTGAGTTAGATTTAAAGTGATGGTTCAGTGTGGTTTTCACCGATAGGTGATAAATAATTATACCTGTTGTATAGCCTTTTGAGCAACCTCGTTTTGGAGAAATATTGACATTCTGATTCAATTCTCATTCTTTCATTCATTCTTCAAGGAAAAGCTGAACGAAAAAGATTGATTATTCATTCTGAACAATTTCCTGCGGGATCAATAAAGTTCAGTGTTTCCCCTAATTTACTTGCCTTGGCAGGGCACTCATATCTTCCGTGACTTTTTGTTGATGGAGTGGGGGGTAGACACATCTGTGTTGTGCTCTGTTTGTGCCAACAATTTTCAAGTGGTGGTGGTGGTGGTGGTGGGGGTGGTGGGGGGGTGAAGACAGTGCAGCATGAGGGAGAAAGGAGCGCTACCTCATAACGCTACCTCATAAGTCATAGCTTTTTAGCTAGCCATGTATTGTGTGCTGCTAGCTTAGCGCTATGTTAGTTGGGGGGTTGGGGTCGGTATGCAGGGAGCCCTACTTGTATAATGGAGGGGAAACATTAAAGTTCTATCTTATCTTGTGTTATATATTGATGGGCTAACAGCTAGTTCAAATGAGGACAAGATCAAAGAGGACTTATGCTTCCTCAAAGCATTGCTAACTAACAAAAATCATAACTGATTATGCTGTTTTACAAACTTTTACATTGCCAGCACTTTTGAAATATGCTGCTGTTTGCATACAATTCTTTTGTCATTTGCTAACACTAGCTAGCTAGCTGTAGCACTTTTGATGCAACCTGGGTCAATTGGTCAAAAGAATAACAAAATTTACCCAAAAAAATCATGTGAGGTAAAATGACAGCAATATAAAGAGTTATAAAATAGCATTCACATAAAGTGCTATGAATTGTTTATGATTGTAGTTATGTTAAAACAATAGCAATCCACTTTGGTCTTGGCCCAGTGCAGATTAGCTGTTAGCTCATCATTTATTCATAACTTTTAACCCTGATTCAAAAGATCTGAACTTTCATTTTTAATTCATTTTGTTTATTTTAATTTTCTTTCTTTGTCCTTTAGATGTAAAGTTACAGTCAAGGAGGAAACTGGAGCGGGTTTGGCCACCCCCTTCTGTAAAAGATCAGAAAAAGTCTGAGCAAACGCAGGTAATAACCAGGAGTACACTAATATCAGGCATTATACACATAATTATTTGTACTATTAATTATGTTTAGAAAAAGTGTCTTATAATGAGCAGACCCTGAAAATGTTTCACACATAAGAAAGTAATAATAATAATAATAATAATAATAATAATAATAATAATCATTTTATTTAAAAAGCGCATTTCAGGACACCTAAGAACACTTTACAGTAAGAAACATATCATATATATATATATAAAGAATATAATTATATGTATGAATACTTAATTATTTAATTATGTAACTTTTTATGTATGTAATTTATGTAACCTGAATCTCACTTTATAATAATATAAAGTGGGATTCAGGTTAAACTGCAGACCTAGTGTATGGTTTTGTTTAGTCATGCTCAAAAAAACTAATAGTTTTGCAACTGCTTGGATTAGTCTGTGCTTCTGATGTTAAATTGAGAGGATCAATAAGCAGCAGCTTATCCACTTTAAACCCTGGTCTTTTCTCTGTCTTATCTCACAGCAGGAGGTAAAAGTTCAAAGAGCAGGAGGTCAGAGAGCTCCTCTGTGGCAGCGTTGGGAGTCTGGCCTGATCAATGAGCCGGCGCAGGATGTAAACAAGTGACGTTGGCCGTCCTGGTTATACAAGACAACAAACAGAATCCTAATTATCTGCAACGATAGAAGCACAGTTCAAAGCAGAGATGTATCGATAGAAATCAGCTCAGACAAAATCATTCTGTTAGTTCCAACTGAACTCATTTCTGGCTCCTCTAGCTTCGCTTTCTGTTTCAAAATATGATGTTTCATTATGGAACTAGTCTTGTTTGGCAGGTAAATAAAGCAAATGCATCAAGTGTAATTTTCTTTTTATCTTCAGCTTAAGTGATCAGTATCAGTGTGTGTGTGTGTGTGTGTGTGTGTGTGTGTGTGTGTGTGTGTGTGTGTGTGTGTGTGTGAGTGTGTGTGTGTGTGTGTGAGTGTGTGTGTGTGTGTGTGTGTGTGTGTGTGTGTGTGTGTGTGTGTTGATTAAAAAGGCTTTTCTTTGTTTTGAATATTAGCGCCAGAAATTTGGGAACTTTTTGCCATAATATTGATGAACAAACTGATTATATCTTTATAACATTAATGGTTTAAATACAGTTCAGTCGTGAGACGTCTGACCAAATATACACTGATGATGTCAACTGAAAAAAACAAAACAAATAAATAATTAACAAAAAACTAAATAATCAAATAACTTAATAATTAAATACAAATATGTACACACATACACACATACAAAATAACAGATATATAACAGATTAAAAAATAAAATAAAAAATAAATACAAACATACATAACTAAATAATTACATACATAAATACATACATACATACATAACTAAATAATTAAATAAATACATAATTAAAAAAATACATACATATATACATGCATACATAACTAAATAACTAAATATAATTACAATGTATAATATAATCATTTATATTATAATTAATTATAAAATATATATAAATATAAAATAATAATAATTAAATAAATGAATGCATGCATACATTCATACAAACATTCATACATACATAACTAAATAATTAAAAAATAAATATATGCATACATACATAACTAAACAACTAAATAATTAAATATTTAAATGAATAAATACATACAAAACTAAATAATTAATTGA